TTTTATAATATTTTTTCTTTGAATTATATTGAAAAATACTATTATATAATTATCTTATAATTTTATAACAAATATTCTTATAATGAATAATGTAAAACTATTTAAGAGGTTTAATTACCATGAAGATCATGAATAATGTATAAAAATTATTCTTATAAACACAATCTACTTAATAATAGCGAATAAACTTACTGTAGCTTGAAAATTTATGTTTGAGATTTTGTTATAAATATATGTTCAAAACAGAGCAATCTTCAACATTTTAATGAACTAGCAACTATATTTGGACCACTATCGGTCCAAACAAGTTATTTAGACCAACAGTGGTACGAAAAAATGGCCCAAAATCGACAAGCTTCTTTTCTCATACTATTTTATTCTTTTCGTTTAAGAACAACACTATCCTCCCATGCCCTAATTCCATTTCTACCAAAGCTCGCTGCATCCACTTCATTGCTGTAGTCCCACCTAACCCTAGCACCCTCGGTTAGTCACCTGAAATCAATTAATGGGGGTGTAAGGCCACATCATTGCAAAATCGCAAATGTGTGGGTTTAAGATTATTAACTTCAAGGTTATGCCACATTTTTGCAAAACCATAAATGTGTAGACTTAAGATTATTAATTTTAAAGTTAAGCTCTTTGGTATTCAAGCTTTTCAAATCTTATGGTTCAAACGAGAGTAAAACGAACCGAGCACGATTTGAGGTGTCGAGAGAAAAAAGGGATTTTAGGCAACCATATTATGACCAGAACTAGTTCAAAAAAGTTATTCGAACTAGCAGTGGTATGAAAAAATTGCCTAGAATATAGAAACTTCTCCTTTCATACTTTATTCTTTTCGTTTAAGAACAACACCACCCTCTTATGCCTCGATTTCGTTTCTACTAAAACCAGCTGTGTCTACTTCATTGCTATAGTCCGCCCTAACCCCAATGCCCTTGATGAATCACCTAAAATTGATTCACGGTGGCGTAAGGCCACATCATTGTAAAATTGCAAACGTGTGGGTTTAAAGTTATTAGTTTTAACTTTATGCTACATCATTGCAAAACCATAAACGCGTAGATTTAAGATTATTAGTCTTTAGGTTAGGTTCTTTGATATTTAGGCTTTTTAAATCATGTGGTTCAAATGAGAGTAAAACAAATCAAGTATGGTTGGAGGTGTTAGAAGAAAAAATGATTCTGGGCCATCTTAGATGGAAATTCAATGTAAGTTAAAATGATGATGTGACAAGTTTTTAAATTAAAATAATAACATGGTAATGGGATCATATTTAAGATGATGACATCACTAGTTTTTTATTAATTAATGAATTAAGTCATTAAAACTAACTAATTAAGTGATTAACTATATTTTAAACCTTCATTAAAAAAAAAAATTAATTAACCAATTGTTTTCTCTGTCTTCTCACTCTCTCTTCATCAAACCTCACCCTAACCTTCATCAACCTTCCTCCATTCCTCCATTTATCCATTTAAAAGAATTTCAAAAGAAATCAACCAATGCTATCATTATCATTCTCCAGTCAATTTGTTCTTCTAAAACCAACAAACAAAAATCCAATTCCATGACAATCTGCTTATAGCTTCAAACAAACCAAGAAAATACTAGGTGACAAGTCCTATTCTTGGGTTTGGTTTAAACCCAGGTTTTGGGTTCATGATGAACCTAGTTCGTTAGGTTCATCACCTAGGTGCTGGGTTTGATTTGAACCTAGATGTAGATTCATCACAAACCCAAGTCTTAGGTTTAATTTGAACCTAACCCTAATCTGTGTTCGATTTGAAACCAAGTGCTAGGTTTTATATATGTCACGAACTCAAGTCTTGGGTTCATTACAAACCTAAGTTATGGGTTCAATTGAACCCAAGTGCTACCAAGAAGAGAGGGGGGAGAAGAGAAGAAGAGGAAAAATTTTGAGAGAA